TGATACTTTGACAATTGATACCGATTCGTGCGATTCCAATAAACATTTTACCTAACTACGAACTAGTTGGAAGAATGATACATGCCTGTATATGATTTAACAAACACTGAAAATATGACGAAAAAAACTGCCAGACACTTTGCTCTTCTCCATTGGAACAACGCAGGCGAGAGGTCAATGACCTGTGCCCCGCGAATAAACAAAAAGTTACAAACGCGGTTAAACACGTAATGTATATGGTCGACACGTGCGCGGCAACCTGGCAACCTGGTCGGCGCGTGCGCGGCAACCTGGCAACCCGGTCGGCGCGTGCGCGGCAACCTGGCAAATTTTCCTAAAGCGAGGGTCAAGGGCTGGCATGCAGTTTTCAAAGATTGGACAGGACAGAGCTGTAATATCAAAGGAGTTGGCAGCTTCTGCTTGCCAGGTTGATAGTTACGCTACATCAAGGTGGTTCAAAAGCTAACCTGATAAAGAAGGAAATCTCCTAGTTAGTTGAAAGTATTGGTGCCTTACTTGAAGCGATCGATACCGCCATGTTGTTTCAGAAGTACTTTATATGCCATACAAGGCAGTGCGCATTGGAATCGCACCTAGTTAGCTCGCTTGGTAACGCACAGGGCGGCAATTCCAGGGATTGCAAGTTCGAACCTCGGTACAAAGGATGTTTTCAACCATTGTCAAATTTTAAATAATTTTAACAAGTTTAACAATGTTAACATGTTTAACCATTTTAACATGTTTAACAATTTAAACATTTTTAACATTTTTAACAATTTTAACCATTTTTCATTTTAACAATTTTAACATTTGATTTAAACATTTTCTTTTTAATATCCGTTGTTTTGCTTTTAACATTAAAAAACTTATTGTTCTTACTCAAGAATGTCAATAACTTAGAATGTTGTCGCAAAAGTATGGAGCTGTCAGGAGAGGAGTAAGGCACTCTGCCAGGGTGAAGAATCTACAGAGGTATTACCAGTCACTAGTAGCAAGAGATAGACCACATTGAATGATGACGATGAGGACGAATCATATGGAGCACTATTATTATAGCTAGTACAGAAATTCTACTGCTTTACTTAACGTTCTTTCACTCTGCTCATGTAATTAGCTTACCGGCCTGATTTTCAAAATAAAGCTTATGATAATCACAATATATGTATAGCTTATTCAATGCATGGTTTTATATGATAATCATAATATATGTATAGCTTATTCAATGCATGGTTTTATATGATAATCATAATATATGTATAGCTTATTCAATGCATGGTTTTATATGATAATCATAATATATGTATAGCTTATTCAATGCATGGTTTTATATGATAATCATAATATATGTATAGCTTATTCAATGTATGGTTTCATAGTTTATGTGATTGTAAATAAGGCCATGTTGATTTGATTATATGGATGACATCTGTGCGCGCATCGGTTTTCGTTTACGACAATCATACAAAACAGCTGGAAACTAATCAAATATACCCTGTAAATTAACCCTAAACAGTACACCTGCGGACCCCAGCACTATATATTCTGTAATATTTTTCTTGTTTCTAAAGATTTTTTTTTCTGAAATTTCAGGTAATTGTCACCCACAAAGTTATCCCTTAATACAGTGCAGAAAATTCAGTTTCCCCATTTAAAAAAAAAAATAATATCTGATTTCTTTGGG